CCTCCCACGACTTTCTTATGAATGCTGATATGCGAGAGAGTAATTGTATTATAAAATATTTTTAGATATAGTGTTTTAAAATTTCAAGTTATGGTAAAGAACTTTCAAACAAATTTAACTTTTGACCAAATTGTGACTTAGAAAAAAACCCATATAAAGATAGCTAAAAATGTATCAAAAATAAGTAAGACAATCTCAGTATTGTTGCCCATCAGATGTTGATGAACTAAAAACTAGAAAAGTTCATGTCCCCATGATCTGAGAATTTACATAGTATAGTTAGCATTAGTATTGCAAATAATTAGTTTGTTTAATTAGTTACTTCATTTTTTATCTTTGTGAAGGTATGTGTATGGTTGATCATTATCCCATGTGATGACTGTCCAAAGTCTAACTTATGCGCACTGACAAAATTGAATGTGTGACCCTCTCACCTTTAATGATGGCTGGACACATGTTGAATAAATAGTTTTACTTTTTATACCTTGTTTCTGTTTAATAACTAAGTTTTTGTTGTGTAACTAAAGTAATTTTTACAATTGTGAACATGATTTGTTTACTATAATGTACTCCTCTTTTTATTTATTGTAAAATTGTGGGAGGCTATCCATTTATATATTGTTCTAGCACACAAGTTCTTTCCTCCTTCATGTATATTATAATCACAAACATGTTTTACTAGTCCAGGTCTTAAAACATTTAGTGTTACATGGTGAAAACTGTGTTTGTGAACTATATCATTTAGATTGATGGTAAAAATTACCTCCCAACCAAACTTTGTTTTTATATGGGAAAGTTAAATTAAGTGTACAGTTTTTTTTATACTACTCCCTGTGAATTAGTGTTTGTGGTGGTTGAAGCATTTAATTGTAGACATTATTAGCTGACTGGTTTTTGTAGTGTAAATGTTTTTAATACTATAACATGTGGGTTGATTACTGTACCATTTCTTCTCCACGTGCCAGTCCATAGCAGAATTCTTGAAAGAGTTGCCTTCTCATAATGAAAGCAACTTTACAAAGTTTCAAGCTGACACAACATCAAAGACCACTGTAAGTTATCATTAACAGTTTCTTTTTCCCAATGTTTGTTCATTACAGTAATTTTTAAATCATTTTAATGCTGTAACAAGATAAATATTTCTGGTACCTAGGTCTAGGAATTACAATTATTGGAATACAAACAAAAGTGTAAATTATATTATGAATTAACTTACGATATGTTGATCAACTTGTGTACAGTTGTTACTGTTTATTGTATTAAGTACTTATGATAAGGTTGTGGTGGTTGGATATCAGTCATTGTCATGGTTAGTAGCCTGTATGATCTCCTAAATCTAATTAATAATTTAAAATTGTTTTTATTATCTTAATTTGTTTAACTAATAACAGTATAGTTTTGCTAACCATGACAGTAATGCAACAATGTGTATTGCATTATTCAGGTGCAAAACTAAAGTCAGTAGAACGTGAACATGTCTTATATTGACACTGGTCCTACAGTACCCATCATGTATTATTAAAAATTCAGCAGAACAAGAACAAACCATATAATGACACATTCTACAATATGTTTAAACATATCAAATACCCATTATGTATTACTGAAAGGTCAGTAGAACATGAACAAACCATATAATGATGCTAGTGCAAGATTTTATGAGTAAAGATATTTTATGTAGATTTAAGCTAAATTTTTATATAAAATATGTCATGTAAAATTTATGGCAGTGTATGTTTTGTGATTTTGCCAACACTGAAATTTTGGAAAACAACAAACTTGAGAAACAGTTGAATTTTGTTACCTACATATAATTCCATACAATGTTTATGGGAAAGGTGTAAATTTATAAAGTCTTTGATTCTGAGGGGTTTTTTTTCATTAGTTGAATGGATTATTCATAAAATTAAATAGTTGAAGATCAGAGATATCAAACATTTTGCTTCACTATAGTTTCTTTTTTTCTTTCCTTCCCAATTTTGACCATCTTCCTTCTTTTCTGTGAACCAAGTTTCAAAATTATTCTCATACGTTTTGGACACTAATTCTGAAGAAACTTTACCCATGAATTTAAATGTTTTAGACTTTTTTTTTCTCAAAATGGCCAAACAATGTATTAGTCATATTTGTTGAGAGCACAATTTCAGTACAAACAGTAGGTAGTTTAAAAATAGTAAATTTTAAAATACACATAAAGAAATAAAAAGTGATTTGTTTTAGGAATGATAACAGAATTGGTTTTTTTTAACACTTAATAAAGATTATTATATGATTTTATGGGTAGGTAGTATATTGTTAAAGGAGTCAAATTGTATATGTATATTTAAACAAGTACATAGTCTAATACTCGTTTCCTTTTCAACTATTTCAGCATTCAGAAATGTAAGTTACATTTAGTGCATACACCTAAGTATAACAGCTGAAAGAACCATTTTACATCAGCCACATTCTATGTGAATTTTTTGCTTTGACATTATGATATGTGTGTATAAGAATAAAATAAGTATTAGTTTAGTATGATGTACTACCAACTTAAAAGCGTGCATGCCATATGGTATAGAAGTATTGTATTTTAATATATCTGCAGTAACTTAGCAGACAATACTAGTTCAAAATGTCTAGAACTAAGTTTCAAACTCTTTTGCCACATTTTTCATTCATTCTCAAAGAACTTTAAGAAGTATTACAAACTGCCATTATAGTTCTTTTTCTTCTTTGAAGTGTATAGTTACTCATAGCTGCTTAAAAACGTTTATCAACATTGTAGAAGTTTTGTTTTACATTGCATCTGTGTCTATAAAATTTTTATTTTTAGGTAAAAAGACCAGCAGTATATCTACCCACAAAGGATCATCCATCTGAACAAAGTAAATTTTCATTTCACTCTAATTCTTTATAAATACTAAATTTTGTTGTATTAGACAAGAGTTTCATTAGGTTAGGTGAAATGGTATGTGATTTGTTGGCAGAGAGAAGATGGACCTGAAATGCAATATTTAAACGTGTTCAGTTTGAAAGCTTAAATCAACTGATTAATAAGGATTGTTTAAATATAATACGCAGTCTAGCATGATGTTTTACTACATTCCTTAAACCTAAAAATCATCCTTGCTTCTTATCCAAAAACCATTACTTAAACATTTTATTATTTATCTGGCTGACTTAGATAAATCTATCTATTCCTAGTGGATTAGAGAAATTCTAAGAAGAGGTTCATGTAGATTTAAAATACCTATGAAAGACAGTTTTAATTTTTGTCTCATATATCCAAATGGCACTCAGATTTACCCCAAGTTTTGTACAATCATAATTTAGTAAGATTGTCAAATTGCTTATACACAGCAAGCAACCAATATGGTGACAGACAGTGGTAAAAAGATAAGTGTCTTAAATATAGTTCTGAGTTTATATTTAATTCTATACTAAATTCATTATCGCAATAACTTGGATAAGGTAATAAGAAAACATTAAATTTAACTAACAAGATAAGAGGTATTTGCCAGTGGGTAGGTATAGACAATAAATCTTAAAATCCAGAGAACACGCAAACCAACGATAAGTTAGTAGGATATATAGACACCTTCACCTATTTAATGTCGGAGGAATTTTTTCCTCAGTCTTGATGGAGGTGACCTTTTTGTGCTTTGGATCGTAACATTAATATCCACTAACTGTTCTGCATGATCTGAGGTGTTAATTTTTTAAGCAAAAATTTCCTACTTCCCTTATATTATTACTGGATGGCATGTATTTCTGATGCACTTTCCTGAACCTGTACACTTTCCAGGTTTAATTCAAGTAAATGTTTGTAGGAATACTTAATTCTGTGGGGATTTTTTTCTTTATTTTGACATTCCTTTTGGTATCCAACAAACGTCCTGTGTTACCTCTTTCTTGGATCACTTTGGGTTTCTTAGTCCTATGCCTTTGGTTTCGATTTTAACCCTCCATCTTTAGGTTTTCTTTCTGAAGCTGTGTATTACATTGGTCCATTTTGTTGGATTTTGTATATTAGGTTGGTATTATACTGGTTTTAAATTGTTTGGCTAGTAACCCCCCCCCCCCATTTGTTTATGTGCGTTATAATCCTCCTAGCTATGTGTACTACTGAAGATTTAACATACCTTCTTTTCAGAACTTAACAGTTTTAATTATCTTGTGAATGGCTTTCTTTTTTGATATAAATACAAATGCTTAAATTTTAAGATAAGTCTGAGCCTCAATATATTTGAGAAATATTTTTCATAAAGTTTTTCTTTTGTGTTTGGTCTGTACTTGTATAATTCTGCTGTGATAATTATTTTAATATTTTATACATATTGTTTTTGCGAAAGACATTGAACAAAACAATAGCAGAAATGAGTTGTCATACAGTCGTATTATTCAGTCTTAACTTGCCATTACATTAACACTGCACTAGAGAAAATACCGTTATTTTCAGTTTCCATATTTTACTGGTGGATGTAAAGATTGAGTAAGCTGTATTGAGACCAAGTGATAAATGTATAAGAACTACCTATTTTATTTGTTACAGTTATAACATGTAAAGATTGAGTTAGCTATATTGAGACCAAGTGATGAATGTATAAGAACTACCTATTTTATTTGTTACAGTTATAACATGTAAAGATTGAGTTAGCTGTATTGAGACCAAGTGGACATGATTTTTAAAACATTTGTGATGAATGTATAAGAACTACCTATTTTATTTGTTACAGTTATAACATGTAAAGATTGAGTTAGCTGTATTGAGACCAAGTGATGAATGTATAAGAACTACCTATTTTATTTGTTACAGTTATAACACGTAAATATTGAGTTAGCTGTATTGAGACCAAGTGGACATGATTTTTAAAACATTTGTGATGAATGTATAAGAACTGCCTATTTTTATTTGTCATAGTTATAACAACGGAGAAGACAAATATTCTTTTACGGTATTTACACCAGCAATGGGATAGAAAAGTAAGTAAATATAAATCAAATTTTATAAAATCCAACACAAACACATACTTTTTAACTTTTTTTTTCACAGGGTATTTGAAATATTAATTGTGAGCAGAATAGATTTTACATATATTTTTCTATGTTGTTTTATTTCTGTTGTATACACAAGTAAGAAAGTATCCAATTTTGTGTAGTATTGTAAGTACTACAGTAATAGTAGAGCATAACTTGGATGAATTCTTAAAAACCAGAGGACTTTTATCAATTCCAGTTTGTGACCACAAAAGAAATTTGTGTAATACATCAAGCTGCAGTTTTATTGATGTAATTGTTACTTGTTTAATTCAGTGATTTCTTGTCTGATATAGACCATGCATGATTTGATAGGAAAATGTGGGTGAGATATGGTAATGCATTATGATATAGTTTTTGTGTATCTATCGATTTGATGCTTAAGAATTAATATTCTTATTTTGGTCAGACTTAGTATTCGAGGCATACAGTCAAAGCTTTGTCATAACTTTATTTTTCTTTAAATTAGAATTCAACAAAAAAACGAGATTCTAGCCATACAGGAAGTGGAACTGAAGATGAAAATACTTCCCGTAAAAGGCTACGCACCGATGGTGCTAGTAATAGCCCATCTTAATGCTACTCAGTATTGTTCAGTGCAAGGAGGTGGATATAAAAACGGTCTGTATAAAGTAAAATAAAACTGTCAAGTGCTAGCAATGGAATATCAACAGAATCTACTTTTCATTTTTTTTCTTCATTATTATAATAAGACAAAACTTCAAATGAACCTAGCAGTATTTTGTATACAGCACTTTAAACATTGACACTAAAATATGAATTAATGATTACTTTTTGTTAAACTTATCCTGCATAATATAGGAGGAACGTTACCTTTAAAAAATCCTTTGTATTTATGTATTTCGCTATTTATCATTAAACTGATTGGAGCATGACTTTAAAAAGTTCATCAAAATAATAACAAAAACATATCATCATATGCGTGACAAATTCCTTTGAAAAAAATAAGTTATTAAATGTTTTACTCTATGCTTTAATTGATACTTTTAAGTTGATATTGCAATCAGTTCTGTATAGTTACACAGTGAATTTTACTACACATGCAACTGTAATTTAGAATAGATAACATGCCAAATTAAAGATTCTTAAAGATATTAGTGAAATTAAATAAAGCTGGTTTCATACTTTCATCTTTCTAATGATACTAATGTTTTACTGGCAAATTGTTATGACAAATGAGTTATGTGTGTGTGCTATAGCTTCTCACAGAGAGCCAAGTATGTACATCGTAATGTTCAAATAGCTTTTTAAAATTACCGTTTTTATACTGAAGACAATTCAAATATATTCTAGTAAAAGACTATATTATGTTCCTCGTATGGGAACTGTTATACTTAAAAAACAACAACAGGAAACCAGAAGTAAAAAGCAACTATAAATTGCTTATTGTTTTATGAAACTGGCACTGTTTGAATTTGTGTTGAAAATTTAGTATTGTAGTTTACTATATACAATTAAGACAACAAATGTAACAATGAACTTTGTTAAAACAGAACAAAAATTGTTTGACAGATAAGGCATTGTTTATTAAAAGATACAAATTCAATGAATGTGAACACATGTTATCAGAGTAAATTTTACATTAGCAGTATGTTCATAAGACTAAGTTCTTTGTTACTGAAAATTTAAATACCTTAAAAACCGGGCAGTTTTTCTGTATATACGTATGTAACATTTACCTTTAACAGCATACCCGAATCTTGGAATAAGTTAATTGAAGCTGTTTGAACATTAAAATAATTGGGAGCCACGGCTTGTTTGAAATACAGCAATTATGGGGATATCCATGACTTTTTAAAAATTATATTACTACTTGTTAAAATTAAACTTTCCTTTAAAGAAGAAATGTAAAGAGGACATCTCAATATTTAAAGTAATTTTATCGAACACTTTCCATATCTATCACACTTTTTGTTCTGTTGAATATTTCTGCCATCATATATGACTATATGCATTTCATGATTTGACATGTCACTTTTTTGTTATATTGTCTATGATTTATCAACTTTGTATTAGTGTTGTTCTCTCATATAAAAACTTACAAATAATGTGTGGTTATTCTTCATTTCTTTCAATATATGTATTACATGTTTAACTACCAGGGACTCTGCAATAATGTAAAAATACGTGTGGCTTTGACTGGTGGTATATAATAATTTTTGACACATTTGGTATTATACCTATTGTATGTTTTTAGTTATGTCTTTTCACAAAAGTTTCCTTTTTTTTTATGGAAAAGTTAACAGATTTGCTCTTCAATAAAAGAAAGTGTAAAATGCTACACACACACATGTATGTTTCCAATGGGTTAGATTATCTAAAATAAACCTTTTTTTTATTACTTATCAAACTTATGGTAGCCTATCATTAATTCTACTGTGAAACAAATGCTTTTTGAGACCATAAGAAATACTAACCCAAATAAATTGATGCAATATCCCAAAAGGTTCAACAAATAAAACTGTTGTAGTGTTCAAAAGTAGTATTATTTAATAAATAAAAGAACACTTAAAAATAATGTGATGAGTTAACTTTAGAGGCTTATACATTACACCAATACTTTCAGGCTAAACAAGCAATAACACTAATTTGTAAGTAAAGTGCCTTAATTGAGAACCACAGATTTAATCATCTGATTATCCTATTTTGGAAAAAAAAAAGTCCCATGCATAAAATTGAATACTGCTACAAATAGTCTTAAGGAAACAATAAAAAAACAACACCTAAATACATTTGCTAATTGTGTTATATAAATATCAAAGAAAAGATAAAGGCCTATTAAATTATTTCTAATTGGAACATTTTGTATGTGAATTACTTACGAAAGTAATTTACTAATCATTAGGGATTAAGGTAATAATGTTAATATTGGAAAACTGCCATAAACTATTTTAATTAATAGTTAATGCAAGGTACGTATAACATGCAGACAGTATCAATAAATACATTTAAAGGTCTAAGGTTAACTTATTAGGCTTAAAAATTGAATCATAGGTTATATGTATTAAAATAAAGCCAGTAGTTTTGAGTATGCACAAGTCCGATTATAATTCATGAAGTTTAATACTAACTTGTACACCAGACTTCAAAGCTACTTTCCTACATAATGTTTTAAGTGTGGTGGTATATATATATATATATATATATGTATATGTATATTAGTCAAATAACCACATACACTGTTGTATGAGTGTGTTTATGATAAAATTCAGTAATAAATTAATTTGGCTACAGTTTATTCTAGATGCTGTGAGCAGTAACATGTGTCTGCTTAATTAGCATATTCTATCACTTCATTTGCTAAGTTCTATTGTTCTGATGTTTTTCAGTATCCTTAGAACATTTGATCTGGTTGGTAGATTTAAAAAGTGTTGTGACAACTCCAGGGAATGAACCCAAGTTTTAGTGCTATAAGCCCTCAAGCTTACAACTGAGCCATATAATCAAAATTGGTTGAAAGCAGTATTATTTTTAACAAATAAAAACTTAATATCCTTATGTTGCTGTTGTAATTTTAATAAATTACAAACTATCAGATCTAGCTTCATCTAATTGGGTTAAAATTTTCAAAGTGTGAAAAGTATGAGGTGAATTTCATGAGAATTTGGAAATGTGTATTACTTTGGCCATAACATTTAGTTTCTTTCCCTCTTATCCACAAACAGTGGCTTAACAGCAAGTCTGAGGGTTTATAATGCTGAAAATCAGGTTTTAATACCTGTGGTGGCAGAGCAAGACAGCCTGTTGTTCAGGTTTGCACTTAGAAACAAATAAACAAAAGCATTAATTTCACTGGAACCACATCAATGAGGAATGGAAATGTACAGTAGTACACAGTTGTTGTTTAACATAACTAATTTTTAGACAAACTTTCTTGTGTGTAAAAGTCTTGGGTATGAATAAAATAATCCTATTCGAAATTGCTGTTTTAGCTTTGTTATTTATATTATATATTACTTTAGCTTTTCCAATAATTCTTTAAAGATTAAAAAATACAAACTTTTAGCTCATACCTCAGTCATCTATTGAATGATTTGAGATATAATTACAGTTTTGGACTCAGGAGGTCAAACCCTTTCAATTGATATATTTGACCATGCCCAAAGTCTGGTAGGGTAATTTACTCTAATCCTGCCTAAAAGAATTTCAATTTGAGGGTAGGCTGGTAGAGATCCTGATGAGCAATAAAATCGAATCGCGTATATGTGCACTCCACACTTGGTATTGCTGGTGCACAAAAATATAAATAAAAGATCTCTTAGATAAATTTACTCTAATCCTACTGAAAATAATTTCAAGTGCTGTGGCTATTGAGGATTCCTAACTACAGCCTCATTGTTTAGTATTTAATTATCATGTCTCAAGTAATCAATGGGTTACTTGAGTTTAGTGATTCAACCAAAAGTGTTATTAACCAGTGATCAGGTGGTATACGTCTGCAATAAAGTGGTAAATACTAAAGTTATGCCAGGAGAGAAACAAAAAACACTACTCTAAGTAACAACACATCCATTCTTAATCTGTATTTCTCTACATCTGCTTCAAAAGCTTGTATGATAACTAGCTATGTAATAGTCTCATAACTTACGAGTTTAATTATAATACGTAAGTGAATGCTTTAAGACTATTTGATAAACGTGTACAGCACAAATTCTTTATGTAATCCATTACGACAGGTCAAAGCACTATCGTCTGTTCTCTGCATTACGTACTTTGGATTGGAGTTATGCAATCAACCTAGCATGTTAAAAGTCAACACTCCCTTATACCAACTTAATTGGTATTTATGTTTCTTATACCAAACTAACATAATATGGATCAATTACTTGTATTTTTAATTGTCATTCCTATTTACTTGAACAATAAATGTAGATGAAGTCACCCCCTGCTGTGTGAACGTTTATTGTATTTACTCTCCAGAGAACCTTAGAGTACAACACTACACATATATCTATTCAAAGTGGTTTATTAGTGACTTTCAGATCTCTTTGCTTGCTTGCTTGTGTTGTTTCTAAATCTTATTTTATAAATAACGTTTCTATGATAAACTAAATCACGAATACTATCAACCAAACTAAAGTGCCTGCCTGCATCATTTGGGTATACTAACTTGCACAGGATCTTGAATAAACAGTACATTCTTCCAATGAATGTTCTACAAATGTTAGTTTCATATTTTTTATTATGAGAGTAAATATATAGTTTAATTGGCTCATGATAACAGAAATTGAACAATTCTGTAAATGTTACCTTTGAAATCTAAAAATGCAGTTTTCAAATCCACAAGTGATAAACATTGAAGAATAAATTGTTTATATTAAACACAGAGAAACAGCAATGCTCATAGGTCTTAGTAGGTTGTATTTCTTCAAAATAAAAGTCACCTTTATTTTCATATTGCATTTATTTTGCAAAACATAATTCTGATACTTTGTGTACCTTCACTCATGCCAAATGTACTGTATACTCTTAAGTCTATAATTTAATAAATTTGTGTCATGGACAAATTTACACTATCTGAATGAGCACTACAAAAAGCAATGTGAATATTTCAATAATAAGCTTGTAAAATATACATATTATAACCTTGCAAGAACTGTCAATACTTGTTACAACAGATACGTGTCATTTAAAATAATGCCTGTAGAAGTAGTTAATTACAACGTATTATACCTTACAGATGGCAATCCCTTGTAGTACGTTAAAAAATATAACTGGCAAAAACTGTGTTATTATCTTAGTTTTCTAGGTTTCAAAATAGTAAATGTAAATGAATAATAAGTGGTCCAAACAGGCTGACTGTCTAAAAGTGTGATATTTGTATGAGGAGGCACTGAGCTTTAATCCCCAGTAATTTAAGTCTTATCTACCATACTGAGGAATAACATGTTCAGATTTTGTGTAAATAACAGTTTGAATCCTTTACATTTAAATTTCAAATGATTTTACATTTAATAAATTTAATAAGTTATAAATGCTATTAATCATTTTAGAAGGAAATGTTCAGACACACTATATCTCAGAAATGTTAATCTTTAATGTGAAAACATATAATAAAATCCTCAATATCTTAGTAACGTTTTAAATATATAGAAAGTAGTACTTGAAAACAAAGAAACAGTGGATTCTTCACACGAGTTTTTTAATGGCTGTATGTTGTAAAACTTTGTTTATTTTATTAATAAGGTTTACCTGATGATGCCAGGTAAACCCGGTGAAAAATTTTGAATAAAATAAACGTTTTACTATGTACAAACGATAAAAACTTGTGTGAATTTTAAAAACATAGTTCTTTCTAATATTTAATAAAGTGGCTTCTTCCCTATTTATATTCTGTGGATATCGAGTCTGCAATCTCCAGGAGAGCAGTAGCTGAAAAATTCAACATTTCCATTACTGCCAATAACAGAGAACTATAAACATGAATGTTTGTATGTATGAAATAAAAATATATAAGACAAAATTATCAACTCAGAATAATCATCTTGTGATTATGATTATAGCTTTTCGTCTTTAAAACACCACCCAAATCTAGTACAATTAAGGTTAACTATTTGTATATTATGTATTGGGTTTCGTTTTGAAAATATTTCTTCCATATTATGGTCTGGTATGAGAAAGAAATAATTTATACTTGCTGTCCATTATTTGAAATAGATAATTACCAGTGTTTTTTGGAAACTTATTAACATTCAGATTAAAAATTTTGTTTGTATAAGGTAAAAAAAAAAAGGTTCTTTATTTCATACTCTGTGGAGTTTTTAAAATCTAAGTGTACTGGTCATAATATTAAACTTTTATTGGTAAAAAAGTTAAATCTACACCCAAGAAACTGCTTTTACATCTCAAACACACTTGTCAACTTGAGATGTTTAGCAAAATGTTGAAAGGTGAACATTTGGATGAAAATTTGACATCAATTTACATTATCTTCTAGTGAGATAATTAAATGTCGTACAATTCCATGACTTATTGAAACATGTAACTTTATATAGTTAATTCAAAAAGCATGCTAGCATCATTCTAACTTCACAGGACTTAATAACCAACTTAATGTTATAGGATGCAGTGTGGAACTTCTCAGCTAAAAAGAGTAAAACTTTTTTTTTTTATTTAGACTGGGGGGAAGAAAAAATTATCACTTTCATGTTGGTGGCTGCACTTTTGTTTTACTTTTCTTGTGCCATTCAGCAATGTTCCATGTCAGGTGTATGCTCGTGATACCAAACAAATTAGTGATCCATCTAGAGCGAGAACCGTACTCAACCATCGTATGTTGACGTGCATGCAAGTGGTAGAATTGTGTGTTCAGAGCAGTATAAAAGGCTGCCTAAATTGCTGCATCTGTATGGGTTATTTCCTTTTAGACAGTACTTGTGAAATCCTTACACTTCATGGCCAGGTGGATAAGGCGCTCGACTCACAATCTGAGGGTCGCGGGTTCGAATCCGCATCCCACCAAACATGCTCGCCCTTTCAGCCGTGGGGGCGTTATAAT